CAGAGGGCTAAAGTGGGCTACATTAACCTGCTGATCCTGGCTGGGTGAAGGCTGCCATGGGATATGCTCCGGCTAGATCAAACAACATAAGGTGCATACAGTACATACGCTACAATCAACATATGGTGCATACAGATACAGTATGTATGCTACAATCAACATATGGTGCATACAGTACATACGCTACAATGTACATATGCTCAGTTAGGGTATCACAAATAGAGAAATGTCACAATATCACAAATGGAGAAATGACATTTAAAGCTAATGTCACATGATGACCAGGAAGATCTTGTTATCACAGACAGATCCTTTCAGTCATCTCAAGGATCTACATGTATTCTGTAGGACCTACACAATCTACGTGTATTCTGTAGGACCTACACAATCTACATCTATTCTGTAGGACCTACACAATCTACATGTATTCTGTAGGACCTACACAATCTACATGTATTCTGTAGGACCTACACAATCTACATGTATTCTGTAGGACCTACACAATCTACGTGTATTCTGTAAGACCTACACAATCTACATGTATTCTGTAGGACCTACACAATCTACATCTATTCTGTAGGACCTACACAATCTACGTGTATTCTGTAGGACCTACACAATCTACATGTATTCTGTAGGACCTACACAATCTACGTGTATTCTGTAGGACCTACACAATCTACGTGTATTCTGTAGGACCTACACAATCTACATGTATTCTGTAGGACCTACACAATCTACGTGTATTCTGTAAGACCTACACAATCTACATGTATTCTGTAGGACCTACACAATCTACATGTATTCTGTAGGACCTACACAATCTACATGTATTCTTTAGGACCTACACAATCTACATCTATTCTGTAGGACCTACACAATCTACATGTATTCTGTAGGACCTACACAATCTACATGTATTCTGTAGGACCTACACAATCTACGTGTATTCTGTAAGACCTACACAATCTACATGTATTCTGTAGGACCTACACAATCTACATGTATTCTGTAGGACCTACACAATCTACATGTATTCTGTAGGACCTACACAATCTACATGTATTCTTTAGGACCTACACAATCTACATCTATTCTGTAGGACCTACACAATCTACATGTATTCTGTAGGACCTACACAATCTACATGTATTCTGTAGGACCTACACAATCTACATGTATTCTGTAGGACCTACACAATCTACATGTATTCTGTAGGACCTACACAATCTACATGTATTCTTTAGGACCTACACAATCTACATCTATTCTGTAGGACCTACACAATCTACATGTATTCTGTAGGACCTACACAATCTACATGTATTCTGTAGGACCTACACAATCTACATGTATTCTGTAGGACCTACACAATCTACATGTATTCTTTAGGACCTACACAATCTACATCTATTCTGTAGGACCTACACAATCTACATGTATTCTGTAGGACCTACACAATCTACATGTATTCTGTAGGACCTACACAATCTACATGTATTCTGTAGGACCTACACAATCTACATGTATTCTTTAGGACCTACACAATCTACATCTATTCTGTAGGACCTACACAATCTACATGTATTCTGTAGGACCTACACAATCTACATGTATTCTGTAGGACCTACACAATCTACGTGTATTCTGTAAGACCTACACAATCTACATGTATTCTGTAGGACCTACACAATCTACATGTATTCTGTAGGACCTACACAATCTACATGTATTCTGTAGGACCTACACAATCTACATGTATTCTTTAGGACCTACACAATCTACATCTATTCTGTAGGACCTACACAATCTACATGTATTCTGTAGGACCTACACAATCTACATCTATTCTGTAGGACCTACACAATCTACGTGTATTCTGTAGGACCTACACAATCTACATGTATTCTGTAGGACCTACACAATCTACGTGTATTCTGTAGGACCTACACAATCTACGTGTATTCTGTAGGACCTACACAATCTACATGTATTCTGTAGGACCTACACAATCTACGTGTATTCTGTAAGACCTACACAATCTACATGTATTCTGTAGGACCTACACAATCTACATCTATTCTGTAGGACCTACACAATCTACATGTATTCTGTAGGACCTACACAATCTACATGTATTCTGTAGGACCTACACAATCTACATGTATTCTTTAGGACCTACACAATCTACATCTATTCTGTAGGACCTACACAATCTACATGTATTCTGTAGGACCTACACAATCTACATGTATTCTGTAGGACCTACACAATCTACATGTATTCTGTAGGACCTACACAATCTACATGTATTCTTTAGGACCTACACAATCTACATCTATTCAGTAGGACCTACACAATCTACATGTATTCTGTAGGACCTACACAATCTACATGTATTCTGTAGGACCTACACAATCTACATGTATTCTGTAGGACCTACACAATCTACATGTATTCTTTAGGACCTACACAATCTACATCTATTCTGTAGGACCTACACAATCTACATGTATTCTGTAGGACCTACACAATCTACATGTATTCTGTAGGACCTACACAATCTACGTGTATTCTGTAAGACCTACACAATCTACATGTATTCTGTAGGACCTACACAATCTACATGTATTCTGTAGGACCTACACAATCTACATGTATTCTGTAGGACCTACACAATCTACATGTATTCTTTAGGACCTACACAATCTACATCTATTCTGTAGGACCTACACAATCTACATGTATTCTGTAGGACCTACACAATCTACATGTATTCTGTAGGACCTACACAATCTACATGTATTCTGTAGGACCTACACAATCTACATGTATTCTGTAGGACCTACACAATCTACATGTATTCTGTAGGACCTACACAATCTACATGTATTCTGTAGGACCTACACAATCTACATGTATTCTGTAGGACCTACACAATCTACATGTATTCTGTAGGACCTACACAATCTACATGTATTCTTTAGGACCTACACAATCTACATCTATTCTGTAGGACCTACACAATCTACATGTATTCTGTAGGACCTACACAATCTACATGTATTCTGTAGGACCTACACATTTTAAAATACTTATCCTTCTTACATGTCAGAGCAACACACTAACTTAGAAATATCCCTGTTCATTCTCATGTTTTAGCCAAAAATATGGAGTGAAAACTAGCCTTAACATAGTTCTCACTCAGGTCTCATAGTTTACACTAGCCTTAACATAGTTCTCACCCAGGTCTCATAGTTTACACTAGCCTTAACATAGTTCTCACCCAGGTCTCATAGTTTACACTAGCCTTAACATAGTTCTCACTCAGGTCTCATAGTTTACACTAGCCTTAACATACTTCTCACTCAGGTCTCATAGTTTACACTAGCCTTAACATAGTTCTCACCCAGGTCTCATAGTTTACACTAGCCTTAACATAGTTCTCACTCAGGTCTCATAGTTTACACTAGCCTTAACATAGTTCTCACCCAGGTCTCATAGTTTACACTAGCCTTAACATAGTTCTCACTCAGGTCTCATAGTTTACACTAGCCTTAACATAGTTCTCACTCAGGTCTCATAGTTTACACTAGCCTTAACATACTTCTCACTCAGGTCTCATAGTTTACACTAGCCTTAACATACTTCTCACTCAGGTCTCATAGTTTACACTAGCCTTAACATAGTTCTCACTCAGGTCTCATAGTTTACACTAGCCTTAACATACTTCTCACTCAGGTCTCATAGTTTACACTAGCCTTAACATAGTTCTCACTCAGGTCTCATAGTTTACACTAGCCTTAACATACTTCTCACTCAGGTCTCATAGTTTACACTAGCCTTAACATAGTTCTCACTCAGGTCTCATAGTTTACACTAGCCTTAACATAGTTCTCACTCAGGTCTCATAGTTTACACTAGCCTTAACATAGTTCTCACTCAGGTCTCATAGTTTACATCAAGTTTTTTGTTAACTTGCACTTCTGGATGCTTTTGACCATATTTGCATTTAGAAAAAAAATATCTAACTTTAATGAAAGAAAAATTTGTAATGTGTTTAAGAATTCAATTTGTTCTTTGGTGAATTGTGTTGGCTTTCATAGACAAAAGTTTAAATGATATGAATATTTGTTTAAAATTTGGCATAATAAAAAAAAGAGTGCAACTTTTCAGAACTTGTAGAATTCTGGCTAGAATCTAGTAACTCTATCAAACAGTTGTATAATTAGTGTAAATTAAAATTTGATTGCTATCAATGCATGAAAATAAAAACTTAAACAGTTTTAAAGAACAAACTCAGAATATTTTTTCAGGTTTCATGACCATCAAAATTGTTTTCAAACCCTTTGTTACTGTTATATGTAAATAATATGTTTAGTTCTTTCTTTCAAGTGCCTAACATGGTCAAAGTATTTGAAAGGCTTCAGATTAAAATTGTAAAAAAACTGAGCATATCCCCTTAAGACAAGGTCTATCAGAATACATTGTATCATCAAGCTAGTAATGTTGGTGTATAGGAGGTCTCATGCTATTATTGATCAATGGAGTACTAGATACACGAGCATGCAGTTGTCACGGTCCAGTAACTACACGAGCATGCAGTTGTTCCATTTACCCGTGAGGCATCCCGGACCATCTGATCACATCAAACACTCTACTTTAGAAACTAACAAAAAATGGTGGGCCTAGGAGTGGTCGCTAAAAATAGAAAAATGAGCGTATACATCAAACACCAAAAGCGAAAAAATCCAGTAGCTACAGGTCTAGCGGCGACTTACTCAGCCATTACGATCTACACCACTATCGCAGCAACAGCTAGCAGCCGACTGAGGACCTAGCAACGGCTGGGTTTTGCTTCCCGTTCATCGATTTGCTTGCCCGTGACGTACGAGTGTTGTGTGCTGGTGGGGGGTCAAGGACAGAGGCTGACACGTATCAAGGCGGAAGCCTACCGTGTTTCCCCCTTTAAATCTACATCTGCTACATTTTTTTCACCCAGTGTCCGAGAATGAATCACTCCATGGGGTAAGGAGTGGGGTAAGGCAGAGGCGGAATTACAGTACCGCCAG